GTTGAGGGTATGGGTCAAGAGTTCTCGTAAGAGTTCGGGGCTTGGTTTCTGCCTCAAACATGCTTCCGCGAAACCTCGCAATTGTGTTCACGAAAGGAACTTTAGATTTCAGAGAAAAGGTCATGCTGCGCCCATATGTCTCTCTCTCTCATGGCACCTTCAGGCGGCTTTGCGTGGCTCGCGGGTGCGTCGAAAGCTTCGCTGGGCCAAGGAAGTGCCTCACTCTCAGAATTCAAGAAAGATATGGCAGGGTGATTGGATGCATGGCGGAGACCTCGGGTAGCAATGGAGGGGGCTTGGCCCAAGGTCAAAGATAGTCAGTGACGACCTGGAGGAAAGTTCGATTCGATCGATAATGGATGACACGCTTAAGAGCTTCGAAGGTTTACATGATTTATGTGTACAGTCTGCATCGTGCTGTGAGGACTGTCCCGCGGTTGATTTGGAGGACATGCTCAGTGAAGCTCGAACTGTAGCCGATGTCTGGCGCTCTGAGACCACGGACGTGGCAAGGTCTTATGTTGCACGAAGTGCTGACATTCGCCCTGAAAGCTGCTACTGACGTGCCGTGGATGGCAAGGGTGTGAAGTACATGTTTGGGGCAGCCGAGGCCGATCCTTTCTCATGCTTAAGCTTGCCGCCGCTGAAGGAGATGCCACAGGCCATGCACACTTGCCGGGACTTTCGAGATGGTTTCTTCTGCACAAGGTAGCGATCGAAAACCGCCAGAAGGCTGTGGCAATCTCAGAGACTTCCTTCGTAAAATATGAGCACCGTTTGAAACTCGAACCACTGCTTCCAACCCTCAGCAGCTCCAACGAAGCAGAGCTTATGTATTCAAAGATAGTCAAGCAGGCCCATCTACTCTAGTAATGTTTTCATTGAGCTGCCACTAGCCGTGCCGGTATGGAGGCTCAGGATAACCAACAGATCGAGCAAACTGAGGAGCCACCACGGCATGGCCCTATGGTAGCAGCCCAAGCTCCTGCAGGGTCCTTGAGAGGTGTGGTGGTGTAGTCAGATCTGAAGAAAACCCGCAGGTGGCGTGGACTCCAAACAACATGGCACCAGGCGCACTTTGCACCCCTATCATGTGGGCATGCTACGAAATGCGCCCCTAGCCGGTGCTGGGTGGTCTTCAATGCCGGTGGGTCTTGGAAGGGAAGGTGGGAGTTGAGGGAGCAGGAGAGAGGAGAAAAGCTCAGCTACCAGAGGCAGCAGGAGCGTGTAAGGCAGAGGAGGGGAGTCAGTAGCCGTTCGACAAAAGGCTTCATCAACCACCGCGAAGGAAGGAGGGCTTGGGGCAGCAAGTTCCTGGACACTGGAATTTGCCCCAGGCATGGCAGTCAAGGCGGATTTCACCAGACCAGCTTTCCTGTGTAGATTGTTTATTGCCTTTCTAAAAATCTGTTCTACTGGGATCCGAGATGTTCTGAGGAGGCTAGCTAGCCAGCTAAGAACATGCTCCAGGAATCCTGCCCAGCTTTGACGCCGCCAGCGAGGGCGGAAGCGTCTTGGCCAAACATGGAGCTCTGGAGTAGTATCCTCTTTTTTTTTCGCTAAATTGGCTCACAAATTCAAACTTCGTTGCAATGCCGGGAGGGCATTTTGCAAGTGCCATCCTCTCGCTTGTATTCTCACGCAGCTTTGCATGCGAGCCTGGCTACCAAAGAATCCTGCTGCGCTGGCTCAAGCTCCAGCCCAGCATGATTCGCAGAGCATTGCTGCGTGTCTCTGCGTGCGTAAAACAGGATGCTGCTCACCTGGGGGACCCGGGTGTGTCTTCTCGGCAGATCACCCTCTGCGGGGTGTCGTCCCTTTCAGCTGGGGTTGTCTACGGTGCAGTAGGCCAGCCGATCAACAGAACAGCTTGGGTCAGCCATCACGTGCTTTGCATTCTTATGTTCTGACAGGCGTTGGCAGTGGCATAGTAAGCATTGCAGGACGACACTGTTCTTGCGCTTTTGCTCACTACGCCAAACGTCAGCGTCACTAGAGCTCGCTGGTGCATTCAACAGGACTGACACGTCTTGTCGGCCTACCTCAGCTACAGGCGATTGGTACGTCAACACCAGGCGAGGCAATTCGTACATCTGCCACATAGAGCTGTAAGCCGCATGGGTTGTTTGTCAGGGACAGTTCAGCCCCTTTATGGTCACATGGATAGCTCATCTGTGCAGCACGATGCCAAAACTAACTCCAAGGTCTGCATGTCAGAAATGGTGCCCTTGCAGTCATAATTCCAAAGGGAGGTAGGAAGAAGTCCCTCAGGCTCCCCCACAGCAAGCTAATGGAGTCGGACTGATCACCTGCACAACTTCTACAAGTCACGCAGAGGTCAAGCTTTCAGCAGTATTTCTGGGGCTGCGGTCTGGTCGCCACTCGGCAACACTTTCCGTAGACACAACGTCTTGTCTATACTGTTGCTCCGATCCTCTCCGGGGCGACAGGGCCGGGCTTGTCCAGAGTGTCGCAAAACTAAAATGTCCGTCTCTGAGGTTCGATGGCTGCTGCGAGCCTTGGTAGCAGCTTGCTCTGGCCGGATTGTGTCAAAAACTTGTTGAGACTTAATGCCTTTGTGGCTAAGGATCTAGCCGCAGCAGCATGTCTTGGGGTACCTGGACTTTTCGGCGCATTCTTTGGCCTTAATGTGGCAAGCAAGCTGCCCGAGTCCAAACTACGGCTTGGATTTGCAGGCTGCATTGTGTAAACTTGATCATCTCATAGTCAAACAAGTCCTGGCTCGGACAGGTATGCTTTGCCTTGTCATTGCTCCGCTCGCAGCACGATCTGCTTACATGGGCAGCGGATCTAGCAATGCTGACAAAGGAACAGCAGCAGGCGAAGGTCAAAGCTGTAAGGACCGGGGATATCATGTTTCCAGATTTCACCGCAGATTTTACACAGTCTATTTCTAGCAGACTTGCAGAAACCTGATCTTGCTGTTGCAGGCCCCGCGATCCTTCATGTCCAGATTTAGGGATGATGTCGCTCGGTTGCAATTTGCTGCAGGCGCGCGACACATCCTGAAGCAGCGCGTTTGCAGTACTTGTACTTTGCGGGAGGTTGCAGCACTGGCAAATGATCCGTCGCGTGCTGCTTGCCACTGCGTTGTCGGCGCTGGAATTGGTGTTCTAACGGGATCGCTCGCTGTGGGCGACACAATGCTGATGATTCTTTACTTGATTGCTTCGGGGTGCGAACAGCGGCTGGCTGTGGGCACCACACTGCTGGCGTGCAGTTTGCCTTATTTGCTTACAGTGGTGGTACATCTAGGACGTGGAAGCGCAGTACCTGTTCTCATTCCGGCCTCCATGTTCAGTATGTGCATCGGCAGCTGCCTGGGGGCGCAGGTGTCCTGCCACTCCCTCAGCAATGAACAGCTGCAGATCGGACTTGCTGGTGGTGCTTTGATGGTCGGTTTACTGACGGCACGAGACGTCCTTAGAACATTGTAGCTTTTTCTGGGCAAGGCTGCCCTGTTTCGTTTTGGTTTCCAATGCAAGTGCGGAGCATTGCATACTGTACTTTAATTTCAGGAGGCACATGACCTCCATCGCCTGCACGTAGTACTTATCAACGTTGAAATGCAGTTGATGCAACTTATGCAACGTTGGCCAGCGGAGCTTGGAACTCCTTCAACGGTTGAGCGAGAGCCACCGACACAAGCAGGGAATGTGATGAGTCTTCGGAATGTTCCTTGCGCCCGTGCAAGAAATCGGTCTTGCTTGCTCACGAATCAGTGAATGCAAGTCACAGGTTGGTCAGCGTGTCAGCGAGCACTGACTCTGATGCAGCCTCCCTTGGAGAAAAAGACTGCTTGGAATCATCTGATGGCTTGACTTAACGCAAGAATGCCAGAATATGCCAGAATCTCGGAAAACTCATTCGCGTAAACAGAGTAACCGGACGTCGATCATCAAGCTTGAGGGCTGCGGGGGCTGGTTCTTGTCAGGAGTTCAGTAGACGTGCGTCCAAGCAGTTTTCTCAGTGGACGGTGAAAACATACTGTGAGACGAGCAGTTCCAGAGCTTTTCACCTCATGACCCTGAGATTGGCAAACTCTAGGCAAGATGTAAGTTTATCATGGAGTACGTTACACAGCCGTTCAGTGGCCTTGCCACATGCGTGAATCCAGGTGTGGTGGGTTCACCTCACAGCAGCCGCCCTGGGTCCGGTTTCGGTGTAGGTTTAGAGCTCAGTGACTGGTTCACTCAAACTGCTTCCTGGCTCCACGCACGTCCCTTGCAGGTCCACGACGTTCAAGATCACTGTCCTCAACGGCAGAGTCTGCGATGACAGAGCCAGATGGCTAGCAGCTTAGACTGGCAGAACATCAGAAGTCGAGCATTCTAAAGTCTTCAACGGCATGAGAACTCCGCAGCTGGAGGCCACGGAGTTCGCACGCGAGCGGAGCAAGCCAAGGCACCAATATCCGAGACCACCAAGTCGTTTAGCGCCGACAGTTTCGTTGAGTTCATTGACTCACCTTGCGCACAGGATGAGTGGGGATTCCAGGACTCCTTGCAGACCACGACAATGAGCTGTATGGAAGGAAGAGCGTGCTGTGGCCTTGTTTGGGAGGACATCTCTACCGCCCGCGCATGTTTGGCTGCCCAGAAGCGAAGGCAACCAAGGCTTGGCGCAGCCCAACTGACTGAATTTAAGGGTATTGGTGTTGGTGTGTGTCTGGGAGGCCTCCCACACTTCCTGGACATGGACCCTTGCGGAGCAGTGCAGCGCATGGCGACCTCGACTTGCAGATGCATGTTCTTCCTACGGTAACAACCTCGTGCGTGCTATGCAGAGCACCAGCAGCATCGAGGTACCGGTCGCCAGGCTGTTGCAACTCCAGCCCGCAGGCAGCTGCAAACTGAGGCACCTTCTACTTGCCTGTAAGCAACAAGACACAAGATAAGCCAAGGCATGGCAGCCAGTCTGCTGGTCCGTGTAAGCGTGGTGGAGGCCATGCAGCAAGCTCAAGACTTCAGACGCTTGGAAAGCTTTTTGCTGCAGAGGCTGCCAGAAAGCTCAAGATGCCATTGCTGAGTATCGACGTCTTCAGGAGGCTGTACGTGGTCTCGAAAGAAGAACGCTGCAAAGCATGAGTGCAGGCAGAGAGTGCAAGCGGACCCTCGGAGTTCCGCACTGGCTCTCCCAACCGAAAGTTACTCAGCTGCAGGCTGGCAGCAGATCGCTCACAGACACAGACAAGTGGTATGGCATGGCTGCTTCGCATCATGTTATGCTACCGAGGTTAATGCGCAGTTCCCAAAGCCTGGGCTGAAGGTTGGAGAAAATGAATTCTGCAATTTGTTTTCTGTGTGTTCTTCAACCTGCGTTTCACCAGAATTGGACACAAACACCATTGTACAGGGGCTAGTCGAAGCAGTCCGCCGGATGACATATAACATGGCAAAGGAAAATTCCAGATAATTGGATTCGGATTTTTTGTACATTTTATTTGACATATTATAGATAGATATCTGTCAGTAGAATATGCCAGAAGTGTATTTTATCGTTGCGTTTTACTTATAAACCGCAAGTTTGAGCAGAGAGAGGGCTGGGAAGCGTGACCAATAATGTTACAAATAATTGGTTGGTCAGATTTTGCGTATCAATAATGAATTTTGGAGCTTCTAGGTTTCCGAGGGGTCCTAACAATCTCAGAAAATTTGATGTTAGGGACCGCACGAGCGAGATATAGATCTATGAATTTGATATTCGAGTTATTAATGTACGTGATTATGGCGCGAGCTCTTGCGATTATTTCGTTCGTGCGTGACTCAGATTTTATACTTGAATTTTAAAATATCTCTTGTGCGGGCTCTTCAGAGACTTTTAAAATCTCGGAAATTTCAGAATCCTTGGGAAAAGCCAGAGACTCTAAAATCTTCGAGATTTTTGACGCGATTTAAGTCTCGGAGATTTTCAGTGACGCGAGTAGGAATTGGCTTGGCGAAGATTCATTAAAGGCAATATAGATATTTCTCTGAAATGAAATAAAATTAGATCGATTTTATTCCCGAATTTTGGAAATTATAATTTCGATATTATTCTTAATATCTGCAATTATTTAATGGGCATAAATTGATTTTATATGTTATCGTGATTAATCGAGAGAAAATGATCGAATATATTTTCTTTATTATTAGTGATCTATATTTATAGATCTCATATTTCGCTCAGATAGAATTGATTTAAAATTCGGTTTTCTCGAATCTATAGCAATTGTGCCCTCGTAAGCAGCGAGCGTAAATTTGTTGAGCAGCAGGTCATTCAAGCAAAGGAGAATCTTCAATATCATATAAGATTTGACGATCTATTCGGAAATTTGAAAAGAATTTAGATTTTGCGTAATTATTTTCAATAATAAGATTAGGAAATATTAAAGATTGGTTCTTATTTGAGATTTACCCTAAATCTATCTGTTTTTTCAAATCTTTGAGTAAATTATCCTCTTCAGATTTAGATTCATTATTCTTATACTTATGAATGGTATCTTCAAAGTCGTCTACAAATTGATAAGATCTCTTAATTTCTATCAGAATAAAGCTAAGATGAATTCAATAATGGAATCTAATACGATCGTTATTTCCTATGCTGATCCTGACGAAATTCATATAGATTAGTTATCAATTTTCGTATTTTCAATTATAATAATATTATATTCGTAATTGAGAAGCTTCATAATTATTCGAAAGAAGAAATCTAAAAATAGAATTCTAATTTCGAGAATCTTAACAAATCTTCTTATAGTAGCGGAAAATATTTATTCTATAATAAAATATATAATGAGAAATCCGATATTGATATCAAAAAAAAAGCCGCCATCCGATGAAATATCAATATTCCAAGACCGCACGTGATATATAGATTCTGAAAAGTCTTCGATCTCTATCTGCATATTCACGTTCTATCGAGTCGTCGTATAGATAACCAAAAAAGAGAAAAATAATTCGAAATCTTAATAGATTTTTTTCATACGATCTTTTGATCTCGTCGTCCTCTAATCGTGCGATCTCTATCTCATTTGTCTTTCTTGGGATCGTATATATCCCTATGGCGAATAAATATGATCAATCTTTAAATTCTGAAAGATTATAGGTTCCCGTCTCAGATCTATATATTCCTCCGATTAGCCGCTCCGAAAATCAAAGAGAGATAAATTACGTAGCTTATATAAAGTCGCGCGTGAATCCCGACGAATAATCAATATATGAATTCGCATATAATCAGAAATAATCAATCTAATAAATTCTAAAGATTTCAGATCTCCATTTAGATCTATGTCGACTCGCCGCGCAGGCAGTCGAAAATTCGGCAGATTTCGGGCCGCGCGGTCCCCGCGTCCAATCCAATTATTTCAATTTTGTTGATCTTATCTCTCTTGGGCTATCTACGCGACGGCTCGGAGAAGCCCATATATCTCCATGAATAGATACGACCAATTTATAAAGTCTAAAAGATATGAGATCTCTGAATTTATATATTTCGACGAGCAGAGCAGTTTCGCAAATATCCGTAGAAAATTGCTCCGGAGGCAAGGGTCGCGTAATCAAAAATCTTCAAGAGATTTGATCCGGCCTCGTCAAAAATTTCAGAGATTTGAAACTCTAATTTTGCCGAAAAGATTGAAAATCTCCCTGAGGAATCCGCAGAAGACAGTTTAAAGATGAGCCAGAAATTCTAGGCCGCGCACGAAAAAAATAATTGCAAGTAGCCACATCAAAATTCCTCAATACTATGGCGCAGATTTTTGCGAAGCGACCATTTCGACCGCGCGCGGCCTAGTCTTTCCGGCTCATCTCTAAAACGCCTCCTGCGGGCTCCCTAGGGGCTCTAAAATCTCGGGGATTTTAGAATCCTTCGGAAAAGCTAGAGTTTCTAAAATCTCCGAGAGTTTTGGCGCGGGCGGCGCGACTAATAATCTCGAAGATTTTTGGTCGCGTGGTCCTTCTCCTCCGGAACGATTTTTTCATATGATTCATCTCTTTCTCTTTGATTGCGTGCGTGGTTGCCCGGCGGAATGCAGTCTTCCAAGATAATTGAAATTGATATGCGCTCCCCCGATCCGCCACGTAATAATAAGCCCAAGAGAGATAAATGAAGCGGAAATTCCGGGTCTGAAGCGGAAATTCCGGGTCGGAGACCTTGGACCGCAGGAATAAAAATCTCCCGAGATTTCGAATCATATTTTTCTCTTTGGTTGTCTGCGGCTCTATCCTCCCGGAGCGGTCTTCCGCGTGATTCATCTCTCTTTGAATATATCCGCGGCTGGTCGGCGGAACGTATAATGACGGAGAATCCAAAATTTTCAGAATTTATAGATTGATCGAATTTATTCACGGATATTTATGATTTCTTCTCGCAGAAGGCATTGTGCCGTTATTTGCCCATCTTGCAGCAGCAAATGGACGTTTACCAAGAGGGCGTTGGGGGGAAAAGGATACGTCGA